GATTGTCTAGAATGGAGGAGATTGCTTCCTGCATGGCTCATCCAACATGGCCGTACGTGTCATGCTGGATTGTCTGGAATGGAGGAGATTGCTTCCTGCATGGCTAGTCCAACATGGCCGTACGTGTCACGCTGAAATGTAGGAGATCGCTTCCTGCATGGCTCATCCAACATGGCCGTACGTGTCATGCTGGATTGTCTGGAATGGAGGAGATTGCTTCCTGCATGGCTAGTCCAACATGGCCGTACGTGTCACACTGGATTGTCTGGAATGGAGAAGATCGCATCCTGTATGGTTCGTCCAAAATGGCCATACGTATCATGCTGGATTGTCTAGAATGGAGGAGATCGCATCCTGTATGGCTCGTCCAACATGGCCGTGCGTGTCACGCTGGATTGTCCGTAATCGTTCTGTGTATATAGGCGATGGCCCACTAGTGTTCGTCACAAAATAAAGTTCATCTACTCAGAAGAAACATATGCTAGCATAGGCGTGCGCACGGGGTGTGCCGGGTGTGCCTGGGCACACCCTAATACCCGCGGCACGCCTCTGGAGTGAGACCGGCAGGGGAGATCTCAGGATCCCCCCTGTCAGCTCATGCAGAGCCGGCGCTACCCGGGCGCCGGCTCTGCTCTAAGCCTCCCCTCACCGACCCACAGGCAGTGAGGGAGGCAGTAGAGGACCTGGGGAGCTCTTGCCAGCAGCTCCTCCGGGTTCCTCTTGCGAGATCTGAGCATTGCCGTGGCAACGTTCAGATCTCGCGAGAGTGAACTCTAGCCCCGCAGGCTAGAGTTCACTCTCCACTGGACCAACAGGGAAGGCAGGCTTACATAAGGTAAGAAGGGAGGGGGGATATTTATTGACTAATCTGCCCCCACCTCCACCCCCACTAATCACCCAAACATACAGCACACACACACACAGCACCCCCACACACATACATCACACAAACGGCACACACACACAGCACCCTCACACACACATACATCACACAAACAGCACACACACACAGCACTCACACACATACAGCACCCACACACACACAGCACCCTCACACACATACAGCACACAAACAGCACACACACACAGCACTCCACACACATACAGCACCCCACACACACAGCAACTTCACACACACACACAGCACACAAACAGCACCACACACATACAGCACCCCACACACAGCACCACACACACACACAGTACACTAACAGCACCCTCACACACACAGCACACTCCACACACAAACAGCACCCCACACACAGCACTAACAGTACCCTCACAAACACACAACACCCACACACAGCACACTAACAGTACCCCACCAAATACACAACACCCAATAATAACAGCACACAAACAGCACCCTCACACAGCACACGACACCCACACACAGCACACTAACAGAACCCTCACAAACACACAACACCCACACACAGCACACAAACAGTACCCTCACAAACACACAACACCCACACACAGCACACAAACAGCACCCTCACACAGCACATGACACCCACACACAGCACACTATCAGGACCCACACACACACAGCACCCACACACACACAGCAAAAAAATCACATACAGCACACAAACAGCACACTCACACACAAACAGCACCCTCACACACAGCACACTAACAGTACCCTCACACACACAGCACCCACACACAGCGCCCACACACAGTACACTAACGACACCCACACACACACACAGTACACTAACAGCACCCTCACACACACAGCACACTCACACACAGCACACTAACAGTATCCTCACAAACACACAACACTCACACACAGCACACTAACAGTACCCTCACAAACACACAACACCCACACACAGCACACAAACAGCACCCTCACACAGCACATGACACCCACACACAGCACACTAACAGGACCCTAACAAACACACACACAGCACACTACCTGTAACCTCACACACAGCACACAAACAGCACCCTCACACACAAACAGCACCCTCACACACAGTAACCAAAACCTGGGGATACATTATTCTATTTATCTGTCAGATATACCTATATTTACAAAATCAAACCAAGAACATTTTATTTATAAAACAACATAAAATAATATTACCCAACATACTAATTTTCAGATTTTTTACTTTCTCCCATTATAAAAATCACACCAATTTAATTCCTACATTCAGTCCACGAGGTTCCAAAGATTGTAGTTTACGGATCCAATATGTCTCTCGTTGTGCTAGTTTTTATAACTCTGTCACCCCCTCTTCAGTGAGGGGCCATCCTCTCAATATCAGTGCATTTGAGACCCCCTAGTTTGAACATGGTACAACAAGCATACATTCTTTATACGCCGTATAAGTGTTGATACCGCTCTAGATTAGTTCCGCCATTGCTGTGATAGTATGGCTGCCATTTGCAGCCTTTCTCTCCAAAAATGCAGAGGGACAGATAGAGAAATTTATTTATATTAATGATAAAATCCACAATTGGAATACTGGAAAACACAAGTTAGCACGAGATTTAACAACACTGTTGGTAAGGAAGTGGTTAACAGTTCAGGGGGGCACTGGGTTATTGTATGATAGTCCAGGGTGGACCACTGCTATCGAGACATGGCAGGGCACGGATTGTGTCTGACAAATATATAAATATATAGTATGTAATGAAAACTATGTCTGTCCTGTTAGATATTTCAGGAAGTCATTATTTCTTCCACTTTCTTTTCCTCTTTTGGCTTTTTTTGATGACTTCACAAAATTAGACAAATGATTAATATTGTGGTGCACTTTTGTACATCCTTTTTATACAATGGAAACAACAAATTTGTGAACCAAAAAAAACAAAATTGGAACAGAATTAAAAAATGACGCAGTAGACGCAGAAAGTAATGTTTTGGCGCAAATAAGGAATAAATAAACAGAAATAGGAAACGCACCAGAACAATTGCATATTAAGGGAACACTTTTATTGGATAATCCCCTGTCTGTTTGTGTTTCCTGAACTTCTGAATTACCACAAAAAAAGCAATTTTCCATTCCTTACGTTTTCCCAACTTGGACAGTTAGGTCTAAATTAAAAAAAAACAAATTTTTTTAACAATAAACTGTTCAAGTAATTAATCCTGTGGGAGATTCAGTGATTTTTTTACTCTTCTAACCCTTTTCCATCTTAAACTAAGCAGGTGGCTGAATGCTTTCGTCCTTCTGAATGGATGATACTTTATATATCAATCATTGATTTGTTTTGTTTCGTATGATTCCAGCTCTGGGGTTTGTTTTCATCAATAAGTAATACCGATTCCATGTCTGGTGCTGATTGGATGATCAATCTCGCCTCTCGCTAATGTGATCGGCATCCTGTAGCCCCATGTAGCCAAAGCGCAGCTAAGCGAAAAAAGGCCTTGACAGGGGTTAGGAGGCGGGCATAGGAGGAGGGAAGGAAGTATGGAGTTATGGGTAAGTAGGCTTGGCTATTTAAATAGGCAGCCATTTTAAATCCTTCACTTTTAATTACTACCTTGCTGAGTTTGTGTGCACTCCTTGGTTTGGTGGGGTCTTTCTTTTCTCTCCTTCTGCAGGGTCGAGGGATAACATGGAGGAGCTGTTGGAGAGGATCCGGTTGGCGGCTCAAGGACGTGGCGTGGACTGGCTGCGGGCGCAACTTGGACCGGCCCTGGCGGGTGCTGCAGATCCTGAGGGCGGCGGAGGTCGGCCTGTGCGGGCTCGGAGGCCGCCGAGACGGCTGAGCCCAGGCGTAGAGTCCGGTGGAGACGGTTCCAGTGGCCGGGCGGCGGCGGGACCAGGCCGCAAAGGACCCGGTAGCCGCATGGTTGAGGCTCCGCCTCCCGGCGCGTTACCGGGACGTCGGAGAAGCGGTAGCCGGCGGGAGGCTACCCGGGAGTCGGACGGTGCGGCTCCCAGTTCGGGGAGGGCTGCGCCTGGAGCGGGGGCCGCGGAAGACATCGGGCGGCCCCCTGGAACCGGAGGTGACGCGGGATTGCAGCCCGGGAGGGCGTCTCCTACACCCATGGCGGGGACTGGCGGGGCCAGTGCGGGAGGAGCTCGCGGACCGCCCCTGGAACAGGCAAGTGCAGGGGGTTCCGGCCGGGACCCCCTTGGCGCGAATAAGCGCAGGAGGACTGGGCACAGGGTTCAGAGACCTGGGGTGGACATGGAGAGGGGTCAGGTTCCTTCTAGAGCGGGGGCAGAGAGGCCTAGGGGGGAGGGTGCGCAGGGTAGTTCCAGGGTAGTGAGCATGGAGCAAGGGCCTGTAGCCGGGAGGGTGGAAGGGCCAGGGGGTACGGCAGGGGGAAGTTTGCCATCGGGTGGGGGCAGGAGGTCGAGGTGCGCAGGGCGTTCAGGGCAGGTTAGGGGTGCGGGGTCTGGGGACGGTCTAGAGGTACCGAGGGGAGGGGGTTCTTCTAGCCGGGGAGCCCGCCGGGGTGGGGGGTGGGGATTTCCCTGCGCTGGTGAGCGGCTAGGTGGGTGTAGTTCTGGGGGGGGTTCAGGGTTGGGGTCTGGTGATAGCAGCCCGTCACCGGTTAGGGCCCGGGGGTTTGGGGGGTTAAGGGAAGGGCTCGGCGTGTTAGGTCCTCATCTAGTAGCTCAGGGGGGGAGAGTGTCATGGCCCCCAGGCTGGTTACACGGGGGCGGGCCTCTGGTAGGAACGGGAGGAGTCGTAGTCCCAGAGGCAGGGCCGATCGGGCCTTGGGTGGGCGAAAAGGAGTGGTTGCGCGGCGGGAGGCTCTGGTGTCCAGCGGGCGCTCTCAAGGTCGGGACGGGGGGGCTGCTCATGACCAGTATGCTCTGCCCAGGACTTCTTCTCCTCGTTACAGATCTCGGAGCCGCTCCGCATCTGATGTGGCCGGGCACCGGGTTGGCTCCCCGGTTGGAGGATCGTTAACGGATGTCGCTCATCCTGGCCAGAGGACAGTACACAACGCAGCCCCAGGAGCTTCGGGGTCGAGGGGCTTGGCCGGTGAGTCCTCTGCTTCTCTGCACTCCAGTGCATTGGTTCATACACTTCAAGCACTTCTCCACTCACTGGGAGCGGGGGGTGCCACAAAGGGCGGTGTGGGTCAGGTTTGGGCTCAGGGGGCCGGGGTGGCGGGCCCGAGCGAGATTCCCTCCGCGGAACAGAGTTCGGGTGGGGACACTGCAGTGACAGTTACCGGGGCGGAGGCGACGAGCGAGCGGGCTGAGTTGACGGGGGGGGTGGTTCCTGATGCGGCCAGGCAACACGCATATGTGTCGTTTGCGGGTCCGCTGGGGGTCCACCTCAAACAGGAGGTGAAGGAAAAAATCTGGAAGGGTGACTTCTGCGAGATCTTTTCTCTTCTCCCTTTGGAGGATTTTATCGATCTCAAAGAGGACGATAAAAAAGAT